AACATTAATGGGGGCTTGCTTGCAGTTTCAGAGGTTAGTCCATTCTTATTATAGTGGGGAGCATGGTGGCGTGCAGATAGACACGGTGCAAAAAAGTAGCTGAGAATTCTACATCCTGAAGGGGGAAATGGGAGGGGGGGTATGGAGAGGGAGGGGGAGGGAGGGGGAGGGAAGAGGGGGAGGGAGAAGGAGAGGGGAGAGAAAGAGGGAGAGGGAGAGAGAGAGAGAAGAGAGACCTGGCTGGGCTTCTAAAACCTCAAAGCCCGCCCACAGTGACACACTTCCTGCAACAGGACACCCCTCCTAATGCTTCTGATCCCACTCCCAGATGACTAAGTATTTAAATATGTGAGCTTGGATGCTAAAGTCCTTGGCTGCTCAGTTCTTTATATGAAATGGCATACTTGCATTACGTCCTCCTGTGTTAGATTTTCTCTAGATTTGTAATGCCTAATACAATATAAATGGTGGTTACATTATTTAGAGATTGTCGCTTTCAGTACAGACACAATGCATTGTTAAATATTTTCAATTCATGGTTAGCTCGGTCTCCCTATGTGAAACCCCTAAAACACGAGGATGCACAGGGATCTGGTCTTTGCCAGGAGTAGTCCCCCTAGGATACAGAGGGATGGGTGTAGTTAAGTAAGTTGGAATGAGAAGGGGCGGATATATGGACATAGAAACACACAGGGGTTTCTCCCACAGCGCTGGTTAAAGCCAAGATCAGGTAATGTGTCTATAAGCCAGGGAAGGTCAATGATTGGCTACCAGAAAGCTATATTTAAATTGCTAATAAGGAAAGAATTCTACCCAAAACTTGTTTCTAGAGTATTTTTTGACTTTTCTCCCCTACCATTTCCTCTCTTACTGCTGTCTTCCATGTTGAAAAGTTGGGTGTTTTGTTTTTCATAGTGATAAATTTTTATTTTCATTTCATTTCCTATTTTTTTCTTGCATTTTCTGATTATAATGAGAATTAATATTGTGATCAAATTGTCAACAGAATCTGAAGTCAGCTAAGAGACAAGCCTCTGGACATCCTGTGAGCATCACCTAGGTGAGACCAGCCTCTGAGTCTGTCTGTGGAGGCTATTCGGTTATGCTAATTAATGTCAGGAGACCCATCTTAATTATGGGCAGGGCCATTCTCAGAGCGTGTGTGTGTGTGTGTGTGTGTGTGTGTGTGTGTGTCCTGGCCTATACAGCAGGAGAAGACAGCCAATCAGCAGTTGGCATTTCCTCTGTGTTTCCTGGATGTGGATGCAAGGTGACCAGCTGCTCTGGCTTCTGAGGCCCTGACCTCCGGCGCCATGATCGACTGTGGACTGTTCCCTTGAACTGTGAGACAAACTTTCTCCCCTAGGTTTGCTCTTGTTGGGGTACTTTATCACAGCAACAGGAAACAAGAAACACAGGATCCTGGTGTAGGGCTAAATTACTTGTGTTTTGATAAATAAATCTTGCCTGAAAACCAGAGGCAAAGCTAAAGTCACTAGAGGTCAGGCAGTGGTGACACACACCTTTAATCCCAGGATTTGGGAGACGGAGGTAGAAGGACATCTGTGAGTTCAAGGCTACCCTGGGCTACACAAGATTGGTGCGGAAACAAATTCAGGTGGTGGTGGTTCACACCTTTAATCCCAGCACCAGAGGGAATATAAAATGGGAAGAGAGAGGGGCATAGTCTGTTTAGTTTGTGGTCGCCCAGCCTTGGTAAAGGTAAGACTTCTCTAGTGGCTTGGTTGCTTTGTTTTTCTGTTTTTNTTTTTTTTTTTTTTTTTTTTTTTTTTTTTTTTTTTTTTTTTTTTCTGGTTTTTGAATTGAACCCCAATACCTATCTCTGGGTTTTTATTACTCATGCTACATCCTGGAGCCATAAAAAATATGTAACTTCAATGAATGTTCCAATAGTTTAGAAAAAACTAACCTCAACAACATAGAAGCTCTGTTCCTAGGTTGCTCTGTGCTTCACCCTTCCTCACCGATGCCCCAAATCTTTATACATCATGCAAATTAAATGTGATGCATTTCCTTTTTCTTGTAAACATGTGAAGTTACAATCCAGACTGCAATCATTCGGATTTCTCTATTTACCTTCTCATTTACTCTTATCAAAGATAAACGTTTGCTCACCTACAATCAAGCTATTTCCTAGCACCCTTTTCTTTCACCCTGAAGGTCTCCTGTGAGCATTCTTCAAAGCTCACATCTAGTGCTAATCTGCTCCGTAATGTAGGGTAATAATCTTGGCTCCTCATTCACATATCTCGAAAACTAATTTACAATTGAAAATCACAGTGGCAGTGAATTTTATACTTGCCTTTGAAATCGCATATACAGGAGACATGTTCCCTTTCTCCATATGGGTTCAAATCATTATTCCCTGGCACGCCTTGACACCTGCTGGATGGCTCCCTTTAGTGTTTTTGTAGGGCATGTCCGCTGGCAATAAGTTTCCTCAGTCTTCCTTTATCTAGGAATATCTGAATTTCTCCCTCATTTTTGACAGATTCTTAATATCATGTCTTGATCTGTGGACTCTGTGGCTTTTGGTGAGAAGCTAGTTGATAATTTCTCCCTGAATACCAGCAGTAAGTTTTTTGTTTACTGCTTTCTGCATGTGTGCGTGCGTGTGGGGGGAGGGACTTCACGGTTTCAGTATAAAGGTCTTAGCACAGGTTTGGAGGTCATCCTATCGGAGGCTGCTCGGTTTCTTGAATCTGCATACCTAAGCCTTTCATCAAATATGTGGAGTGCTCAGCCCTTCTTTCCAATTCTGCTGCTCCTTGCCGGGACTCCCATTATCCATATTCTGTCTTCTTGATGGATCCCAGAGGTTCGTTCACATTCTTTCTTTCTGTTCCACACCCTGGATAATTTGTTCTTCAGCTCTGTCGATCCTTTTTTCTGTTAGGTCAAACATTGGTCAATGTTTCTATTAAGTCTTTCATTTCAGGTTCATTTCTCAGCTCTGAGATTTCCATTTTCTATAATTTCCATATTTTAATTTTCATTTTGTTGAAACATTAATTAGTACCTTGTCAATGTTTTCCTTTAACCCTCAGAACACATTTAAGAAAGCTGTTTGTTTTATGAGTCTAATGTCCATACTCCCTGCTGTATAGTATAGTTATTTTCAACGTATTTTGCTCTTTTGAATAAACTCTAAATTTATTTCTTCGTATGTATTTTTTGCTGAACATGGGATATTTGGTTATAATGGAAACCAGACTCTCAGTCTTCTTGGTGTTTATTGTTACTGAAGGCTGTGAAAGGTTATTTATTTACTTTAAAATAATAACCATTCTTATGCCAGTGGCTGTGGTAGTCCATGTTATTTCTTCCAAACTACCTTTTCAATGGCTATATTTCTTTTTTTAATTTTTATTTTTATTTCATATGCATTGTTGTCAGGTCCCCTGAACTGGAGTTATAGACAGCAACAAGCTGCCATGTGAAGTGCTGGGTATTGAACCCGGGTCCTCTGGAAGCAGTCAGTGCTCTTAACTGCTGAGCCATCTTTCCAGCTCCTGTGTTTCTTATGTGTGGTCATTGAACTCTGCTCTTCTGTAAATAATATTATGAAAAGGATTTCCTTCAATACCAGGAGCCTTAAACATAACTTTAAACAACATACAAAGACACTTCTTCCCCTGTACATCAATTTCATACTGGCATTCTCCAACACTTAGTCAGGTGTGTACCAAGCTGAAAGAGTTAACCCTGTGTGAAAGCCTCAAAAGTCCTGGGGACTTTTTTAAGCACACATTTTCCCATTTGGCATGCACATGGCCCTCTGGACAACCCCAGACACACAGATTGCTCTGAATATCTCACTCTGTCAAAGATTTGCCCCAGCTTTCACTTGACTTCGTCTCTACAGTCTACAAGGGAATTGTTCTTTCTTATGGCAGTTCTGTTTCAGCCTGTGCTGGTCAGTAGAGTCAGAGATGAGAACCTGGGATCAGTTTTTCAGATAGTTCTTTGATTAAAGTTGTGGATGGAAAAGTCTGTTATAGTCCGGGGAGATGGATCAGTTGGCTAACTGGGTGCTGTGCAATCCTGAGGACCAGAGTTCAGATCTCCAGCACCCGCATGATGAGCCAAGCATAGCAGCACACACCCATATTCACACACACAGTGTGGATGTGGCAGAGATGGGAGGAACCCTGGGGCTCGCTGGTCAGAAGGTGTCATCAGATGGGTTAGTCAGGTTCTATGAGAGACTGTCCCAAAAATAGGGTGGAGAGTGATGGAGAAGGCACTGGGTGGAACTCGGCGTCCTCCCTATGTGCCCCCCAACACCACATCCAAATGCAGATGTACACACAATACCCTGTGTTCACAAACTTTACTTGTTAATCATGATGCCACCTAAAGCAATTATGGTTATGATTTTCTCATCTCATCATGTCTTTTACATTCCATAGTTGGCATTTTACTTCCCTCCCTTGACTTTAATTACGTATTAATATACATACTCAGTAATCAGTATGTACAGCATACAATCTAAATGGGAAATGCCTGCTAGTAGGGAAACCATATCTAAGACTTACTTGTATATCAGCAAAATAACAGTAGTAACAATGCGCATGCGCGCGCGCGCACACACACACAAATAGAAACTGCGGAAATGTCCTCAATTCACTCCTGAAGGACAGCATGGAAGAGATCGTTGTACTGTTTTTCAGATTTTAATTTTTAAACAATGTATGGAGAAATGGCTCTACATGGTACCCAGCTCTATTACCAGCACCTACTTGGCAGCTCACAGCTGTTGGCACCTCAAGCCTCAGGGGCTCTCCTGCTCTCTTCCAGCTTCCTTGGGGACTGCATGTATGTAGTGCACAGACACAGATGAAGGCAAAATATCCAATATCACCACTACTACTGCTAACAACAACAATCATAGAAATGCAGCAATTTCAACTGAAACACAAACAAAAGCCCTCACAAATATTTCAGACATTGTAAAATCAGATTCCATAGAGCAGCAGTTGAATATACTCAAATTTTATTACTACTGTCTAGAGATTTACACCAGCATCTATGTAACAGTCCTCTGAGGCAGGAACCGGACACAAAAATATCATTTACCGACCAGTGCCATACTCAACAGACTGCTTCTCGATGTGCTATACCAGTGACAAACCAATTCGGGGACTGGCTCCAGCTACTTGACGTAAATCAACTCACTGCTAGGTGAACAGTACAGGCAGTAAAATGTTGTGTAGACTTACAAACACTCGGAATTTTCCCGAAGAGTCTATGTGTGTTGCACACTCAGGTGCGCAGACAAACGTACAATAAGAAACTGTTCCACACAGCAGTTTCAAGTTTCAGGAAAGCGTACATTGTAAACACGATTGCCATACAGTGTAAGTTTATTGTGTAAGACAGGAATGACAGTGTGTCTCAGTACAGAGTCACATTCAGTACACAGAATACAGGCCTAATGCTTAGCTACAGCGGAAATACAGTCTTTTTCTAAATTTAAGCTACGTGTGCAAGTACAATTATTTCTAGTGTAAACCTAGCAAACCTCTAAGGACTAAGCAACAGGGTTCTAGATACACGTGTGGGAATACCCCACCTTTCCCAAGATGTGCAATTTAAAAGTGAAGCCAATATCTCTGCCCAACCAATGCAGGCGGTGCTGCACGATGTCATCTTACTACAGATCACAGTCAATGCAGGGACTTGCAGGCGGCTAGAGAAAGGCTCTGAACATTGGCTCCATGAGGACAGTGCGGTGCCTACTGTGAGCTTCCTGACTGCTCACCACAAGCACAATTGGCGCCTCTGCAGGACTGTCCAGACAAGTTCAGAAGTCTACAGCCGAGTTCGACAATCTCAAGTTTCCTCCGGGATGGTGGGTCAAAGGAAGAAACTCTTGTGGGCAGTAGGTTATGAGGCGGAGTGAAAGCAGAGCCAAATTTATTAGAAGAACTAGAAATGTGCAAACTTACAGTAGAAAGGCAATTTTGCTCATCGTATCATCTGCCAATAAGTACAAAAGGAGAAATCAGTCTCCTCGTGTTTCCTGTTAAGACGGTGAAGAACACAGAAACACTCTCTGGTAGTGACTTCCAAATCCCAGCTCTGAAGGAGCGCTTTCTTTGTGTTGACATCGCAAAGAAGCCATCTTGAGACACAATGAGGACCTAATGCTATAATCCGTACCAGACGTGTCCAGTGACATCATCTGTCCATAAAGACCAAGGTTTCCAGGAACAGGTGGGGTGGGAATTGGTTCCCATCCATTTCCTGCTCAGGAATAACTTTTCTAAGGCTAAATGTCCACACCCTCATGCAACTGTCACTAGCATGAGCGGACAGGCCTTAGAGCCTCAGCTTCAGACGGACATCTGGTAAGCAAGCCTATCAGTGACAAGAGCTCCACCCCCCAAACCAGACACCTCCTGGGGCCCGGGTGTCTAGAGCTGAGATGGGGAAAAAGGCTCTACTCCAGTTTTCACATTGGGAGATTAGATTCTGGTCAAATCTTTCCTGTGATAAGATTTAGCACAAACCCAAATCCTGACCAAAACAAAGGCTAAAATCCCACTACAGCTCATTTTTCAAAATGAAACGCAGCAGTAAGACCCAACTCTATGTCAGGCCTCAACATCAAAGTTTTCAGACCCTGGCTATGGAGTTTTCAAAAACTGTCTGCTACCATCTTCTCAGACTGGTTGAAAAGATCACTCTAAGTTTTTGCCTTTAGAAAGTCTAATTTTTCCTTAAAACATGTATGCTAAATCTATTGGATTTCATTATTTTTCCTTTTCTCTTCACAATAAATAATAAAAAATTATTGACATCACTGTAAAGTCTTGCCAACAATGTTGTTTCAGGTTTCTTAGATGATCAAGTAACTCTGGTTTTCTGATTTTCAAAAAATTACTGATTTAAACCAAAGCATCCTTGCATTGCTTAGAAAGGAGGGTAATGACCTCTGACACTTTCAGTCTGTGGCCTACACTGTGAAATCCCCGCACAGATGTAAGCAGAGACCATGGGTGCAGGGGAGCCTGAGGTCTCACTTGATTATTACTGGACCCTACGCAGCCACACTTGCTTGTGAACTGTGCCTCCATCCTCTTCACTGGAGGTTTTGGGGCCATGATCATTCAAGCAACTCAGCAAAACACGGAACCAGTTTCCCGAGTGTAGCTGCTGTATTTATTCACTGCACCCAAGGGAAGGGTGTGGATGGCGTGACTCCTCAAAACCCTCAACTCACGGTGATAACACACCTGTGTTTGAGCGAGCTCTCGAGGTTAGGGAAACTGTAGCAACTGCATTATTAAATAATCCTTGGAAAGTGGACTGATACCAAGATTTGCTTTCAAAGCTGATATGATATGATAAATGATAATCTCTATTTATAAATCCACACTAAAATGCAAGCTTGTCAAAAACAGTGGTGAGTGCTATTTCATGGGAAAAGGAAACAGGCAAAGGTACTGGATACCATTGTTATGACTCTGGATGCACATCAAGTTCATCAGGGAGACAGGCACACGGGGGAGGATGGGAGGCAGCAGACCTCTCCTTAGCTAAGCAAAATAAAATCCCCAAGTTTCTGTGCACAGACGCCTGGTCCACAATCACTTCAAGAAATCACAGAGGAACAACCCTCCAGATGCTTTCCTTCATGGGTCCATCAGCTGAGAAGTAGAGGACTCCTTCACATGTAGCTGAGCCAAAAACAGGACATGTAGGGTGGTGGCAGAGTGACAGACAGGGCTGGTGACTGAACAGCCCCAAGAAATCAGGCAATTTCTTCAAAACTAAGAAGGACAGTTGGCATAAAACAGGCCTAGAGCAAGGAGCCTCGCTTGTGCTCTGCGCATCAGTGAGACAAAGAGCAGGTAAAGAACAGAGCTGAACTCAGAGGTGGCAGTGGACAAAGCCACCAGCAGAACCGGGGCTGCTGAGTTGGTTCCTGACCTGCCACAGGTGGAAGGAAGGAGAAAGGGAGAGGAGGCAGGACAACTGGAGACGGAAAGCAGCGGCCACAGATCCTGTTAGAATCTCTTAAACATTCTCACCCCGTAGGGCAGGCTAGCCAGGAACCCACAATACAGCTCAGCTGGCCTCAAACTTAAAGTCCTCCTGCCTCCGCCTTCCAAGTGCTGGGATTAGAGAGGTGCTGCCTCCAGCCACACCCTGAGCTGAAGGCAGTCAGTTGCTGCACCACTGCTTCTGATACAGCAAGGCGTCAGACAGCTGTGCCACTTTCCCAGCTCCCCAGCCCAGTGCAATCCTATCTGCCTAATAGACAGAGCAAGTCGGCAGACAGATTTACAAGTGGCTCAAGCTGACTTGAAAGTCTAGCTGTGCCACAGGTCGACTCAGAATACTTAAAAGTAAAATGAGTCACACAGATACCGACCAGCGCAGTAAGAACTCAGACCTCTGACTTACAGATTCTGTACGTGTTGTATAGTTCTAAAAAGTGAGTTCTATTCAAGCTACAGTCTCATTCACACCCATCATTCAAAGCACATTTTGTATGTATGGTCAGAAACCTGAAAGGCCAATGCAACAGTAGCAGATGGCTACCAGCGAGGAAAGGAATTCCTACTTCAGTTCTCTATGGCAAGACTGTTAGTGTCTACCTGTAAATTTACCCTTTCTTAATGAAATTATCAGAGGACCACACCTGTTGCCCTTATAGAAAGATTTATCGCAAATAACTATTCTGAATTTTTCCTTCTTGACAAAATAGGCTTCGTTAGTCCAAAACTGTTTTTAAAGGAGAATGGTCGTTTTACAGCTGGGGTGGGGAGTAGGGGCAGGAGGACATGTTAAACACAAAATTCTGGCTTCTCAACCATTTCTGTTTTAAAAAACACTTCTATATTTGAATGCGTATAAGCCTGGCTCACATTTTCGATGGACTGTTAACTAGACTGGACCACTGTTCAGAACGCGGTGATAGAGGACAGCATAGGGCACAGGTGTCATACAGTTAGTGATGTGACAGCATCTCCTGCTCCCATGGCAAAGGCCTACCAGGCCACATTGGTGTGTGTTAGGAGACCTCCATCTTGCAGTGTTGAGAAAGCCGTAACATTACAGGATCCCACATCTACAGCCAAGTTCAAGGTTACTGTGTACAGTAAACTGAAGGGCAAACGGAGGGAGAGACGGACTCAGGCCTAGATAGGTCCTCAGGACAGATGGGGACATCCTTCAAGGACTCTCTCGTAGACCATCATCTGTTTCCAATTCAGCCAACTGCCTCCTCAGGATATTGACCTTGGCTTGTAACTCCTTGTTATATTCAATGATGTTAACCATTTCTTCATATGCTTCATCCAGATACTTGGAGGATCTGCTCCAACGTAGGAAAATTCCTGTAGAATCGGGAATGAGAACAGATGGAGTAGGATGTTCAGAGGAGCAATATTAATCACTGCTGACTCCACGCACTACTGTTCATTTTTTACAACACATGTATTGTGTAGATTTTGGTTTTGCAGCACTAGAGACTAAACCCAGGACCTTGCACGTGCCAGGCAAATATGCTACTATGGAGCTATAGCCCTTCCTGATTTTGAGAAAAAGTTCTTGTTAAATGGCCCAAGCTAGCCTGAAGCTCATGATCCTCCACAATCCTGTCTCAGCCTCCAAGCAGACAGTATTCCTGGCATGCACCATCACACTTGGCTCACTTTGATAAAATAAATCACCTGTTTTCCCATCAGATTCCTATTTGGTCTGTGAGACTGCCTGCAGGAGTGGAGCCATCCTCACTGGGAAAGTGGTGACACAGTGTCAGAGGCACAGGCTGCTACGTAAGCCTCAGCTTGAACTATCCATGACTCATATCACTCCACCACGGTTATTCAATCTCTCAACGCCACAGGCAACTGCTCCTCTCCCCAGACAACAGTCCCTGGCTTATTATGGACTGAAAGGGCAGACATCATCTCAAGTGATTGGTTCCAGAATCACCCCTTGGTATCATACTCTTAGATACTGAATCCTTTACATCAAATGATAGTATTTGCTTCTAACCTCTGCATACAAGCATGTCTGTTCCTAATTCAGTGGGAACACTGTAAATACTCATGACACAGTGCTGTTTAAGGAATAAGAACAAGAAACCAACCTGCCACAAGGCAAACTTTTTGAAATTTCCAGAGAGAACAGCTGGTTCTGTCTGCACATGTGGAATCCACAGATATGGAGCCAGCTTAGGAGAAAGCTGGCTCATGCGGCCATGCCAATTCACAACTACTCGGTCTACTATTCAGTTAGAAGCCACTATTAATGCCTCCTATGATATAAACAAACAGCAATTGTGTTTGCTCCACCACTTCATCTCTAAATTCCCACTGCGTGTTGGTAAAATCATAATTATATTTCAGGCTACCCAACTCCAGGCATGTGGCCTCACATTTCAGTGATTAAGTATGGCAGTGTCTTTTAAGTAAGTTGCCTCAGAGACAGCAAACATTTGTATTACCTTTTATTTAGATGATATCTGCATGTATGTGTTCATATGTGTACATGTGTGTGCATGAGGGTGTAAATCCGAGGACAAGCTGTCAGAGCCGGGAGATTCTGTTTCCACCACATGACTCCTGGGAACAGAACTCAGGTTGTCACTGAGCTGCTTCACCATCCCCAGAGTGGCAATCCCTCATTAAGAAATTACTGACTCTGGGACCCGTGGTTGTCTACAACAATCCAGAGAGTAAGCAGAGAGGTTCTTCTCGGGGTACCCAAACTCCTTCACAGACTGAAATCGCAGGGCCCTGCTCAGGGAACCTAGACATTGCTGGAGCATTTAGTTTCCTGAATTCTACACAGGGAGGCACCTAGCCTGAGGAGGAGGATGCACTCGGGCAGACATGCCAAGAGGAACAAAATGCAAACCAGACAGAGAAAGCATCACACAATGGGCAAATCATTTTCCATACATGAACTACTGAGGGCACAACACATTAGAAGGAGTTCACAATGGGCATTCATAGTAACCTAGGTGAATGTACCAACCAATGGCCTTCCTCTATCTACGCTGCTTAGTGCAACCATGCATGAGGATGCACTTACTGTCTTCAAAATGCTTACGAAGTTGAATGGTACTTTACTGTCCCAGTGGAATGAACACCTAATATACTTTACATGAGTTCAGATCATTATTTTTTTTAAACAAGCTTTGGTATTTAAGGAGATTAGCTTCAGTGGTCTGAGAAATTGCACACATAAGAACCTGTTTTAGAAAACACTCAGAAATGCATTAGGAACTGCTATTCCACAGGAACAGCAGGACCTGCAGTTCTCACTGGTGGCATTTTGTGTCTACTTACAGAGCCTATTGGAATGACTGTGTGTCATCATTTAACACTCGTTTAACTGTGTTAACAGCTTAAGAAAGGAAACAGACAGAAACCTTCCCTGAGGAACTTGCAGTTCATTCATGTCCCAGCTCCTACTAACTCTACAAAAGCATCCCTGCTAATCTCCCTGTTACTCAGCTGCCATGGAAGAGAGGCCACGCCCACACCATGGAAACAGTAAC